TGGGATGTGGGCCTGGAAGTGCGAAAAGGGGTGTGCTAAGGATTTTTGGAAAATTGGGGGTGGAGTCCCAGGTCAGAACTGAGATCTCCTGTGGCGAGGTCCCAGGGGCGTAGGTGCAATGAGGCTAAGGGGCGGGTTGCTTTTGGTCTGATGGCGGTTGAGGTCGTGCAGCGTAAGGCAGATGGCATGCGCAGTGCATCCTGGGGCTGTCTTACCTGCCCATCTCAGTGGCAGTGGTTCTGAGGAGGTCCGTTCGCGGGGGTTGCGGGTTCTATGGGTCGGACCTCCGGGTGCGGACACGTGTCGATTGACGTCGTGCGTTATAATTAGACTCCGTGGTTCCAAAGGTCCGGTGGTTGCCGCGTCGTCTGCAATTTCTGCACGGCGTGTGGGGCCAATACGGGGCTATGGAGTTCCACAATACCCCCGTGAGTTGGTGGTATTGCAGGAGGATGTGGAAGGGAGGGAAATTGGTGGCAATAACGACAAAGCCGGGGGATATGAAATATTGTGTGTTATACGTAGTTGGGTAGAGCCCTCGGGTCGCTGGTTATGGCGAGGTGGAAGTCCCTGGAACACAGTCAGTCATTCTCGGTTAGATAGGGGAATTCTGGATGTCTCAGCCTTAGTTGTTTTTCCTCCCAGTATTCACTGTACTCTGACAGCTTGGCATTCTGGCGGATCACTAGCTACGGCGTAGTGAAAACCTTCTGCACACATCGGATCGTACTTCGATCGATAAGGGAATTTTCCGGGTATGGGGGCGAAAATTCTTACCGGCCCGACTTCTCGCAAAAAGGAAATTCCGCGCTTATCCCGATACTGGAGGGGCCCAGTTCATCAGCGATCGTGAATCGCCCGCATGTGGATACGTGTAGGCCGCACTGATCAGATCGCGCTTACACGTGCGCACGCGAGGTGTTCGGTCGCACACGGGCCTATTGGCTGGTTTTCGTGCAAAAGTGAGAGTTCAATCCTACATGCAAAATCGCCACGTGGCATAAATACCCCACAATCCTCTAATCATTCCGTGATAATTTCCAATCATGCAAAATGACATCGCACATTGCAACAACATCAAACTCTTATTATGATGACAACAGACCAAAGTGACAAGCATCGATGATGATTAAGCAAAAAAATGGCAAGCATATCATTTCATCAAAACCCGTGCATCCAAATATACACAAAAGAGGAAGGATCGAGACCGAATGCCAGTGAGACACCATACGAGGGACAACATCGAGACAAAGATGCCGAAAGAAAATACGGGTGAATTGCCCGAGCCGCAATCAAAACTTATATACAAAAGCAAAGGAAAAGACAAAGAAATTCAAGTTTGCAACTCCGCGCCCATCCATCTCAACTCTCTCTCTCTCTCTCTCTCCGTCTCTCCAATGCGGACAGTCCGTCGTGACGCACCAACCCACGAAGTTGTCAACCCCGTACATTTGGCACCAGCTCGTCAGGTCGCCCAACTCCCACTTCAACTCACCTCTTACTTCGCTCGTGAGCCGACCCTCACTGGTCGCACTACCCCGACCTTTCAACAACTGTTTAAGAGAGGTATCTACTCGCGCAGCCGAAATTTATAGCGTGCATGCATGCGCGAAGAACATGGAATTGCAAGGACTTAGAAGGGGAGAAGGGGAGGGAGTGCCTACGTTCTGCATGGCCAGATCGCGGCGTGGGGGATGTAGCCACTCTCCACGCATCGATCCGATCATGCAGCTCGCGAGCCAATTAGACACAGCAAAGAAGAGAGAGAGAGAGAGAGTGGAAAAGACGAAGCTCAAGAAGAGAGATATAGTTACAAGGACGCCCCGCCCAAAATTACAGTTACACGCGAGATTAAGGGCGCCGACTAATCAGAGCTCCGTTGCATCGGCAAAAATAAACGCGCGAGCAAAGAGCACCAAGCGGGAAAAGAAATTCCGAATTCCTAAATTCCTATCCAACACAAAAATGCAATTTTTTTTTTATTAAAGCACAAATCCCGAAAAGAAAGTCCGAAATTCCGAGAGCCATCGAGGGCTCGACAAGATTCGAAAAAGGAATTCAAAAAAAGAAGCAAAACTTCTCGCGCGATCACCGCGCCGAAAACCCGACAGCAGAACAAGAAGGAAGCGACGTCAAAATTATTAATCGCGCCTCTGTCGGCGCGCCAGCCACTCAATCGACCATTCCGGGACTTGCCCAGCCCTGGCCCCAGCCATCCATAAAGGGGCGACGTAAAAAGAAGAACAAACAGGGATACCGATGCAATTTCCCGTCGATCCCATCTCCTGTAATTGGCCCAACCTTCCCATCTTAGGACCTCTCATTGTCATCGCGCAGAAAGTTGCGCGGCACAGAAAGTGGTTCGTCACACCGCAGGCCGCTGACAAAAGGGTCATCGTTTGAGGCATTTGGGTACTGGGCCTCTCCAGTGTGATCCGAAAACAGACTCAAATTTTGGGATTTAGGGTCTTTTGGTCTTCGTGTGAGTATGCCCAAAGTTGCACTACTGTCATAGGGGCATTTCGCCACACCGATGGCTTTCAGGGGTACCTCGCAACCCCCCCTAACTTTCAGGGGCGTTTCAATAATATTTCCTTCAAAGAAGCATTTCCAGTAGAGAAAAAAAGTATGACACACCCAAGAGCCTAGCTCAGTGGGTATACCCATGAACTGTTAAAAGTAGAGAAAAAAAGTATGACACACCCAAGAGCCTAGCTCAGTGGGTATACCCATGAACTGTTAAAATACGGACCTGTGTTCAAATCCAGATGATGGAACTTGACGAGGAAAACCAACTATTAATGAATTGCTTGGGGCCGGTTTAATAAAAAAAAAAAAAAAAGTATGACACACACGCCACAGTTTTTTGTCGTTCTCACACGATTTGGCGCGTCTCCCTGCTGGGGGGCCGGATCTGCCTACTAGAGCGGCGAGCTCAACGTGAAATGCCCAGGAACCGAGGAACACGCACCGTCCCAGCTGTTCGCGACGAGTTCCAGGAAAGCCACGTCGGCGGGCCCCAGGTAGGAGATGCGATCCCAATAAGGACGGTCGACTGGCGAATGCGTGTGTTGTCATAGCCAATGAGGAGTCGGCTGTCTTTCGTGCTTCGCTTCCACACCGTACGCTAGGTTGCACCGCCTCGCGTTGGCCTCGCACGCCAAATGTGCAAAATGAGAACGAATCTTCTGCTAGAACATGGAAAGATACGCCGCCATATTTTTTCTCTTTTGTGCAGGTGGTGGGTAGTGGAGCGAGGCCCTGCTTTCCTCTTCCGTCCAACTCTCCCTGTCCTCCCTCTCCCTTCCCAGGGATGACACATGGTCGTTCGCTGACATTCATATGAGCCCGCTCGCTACTGGCCAGACAACGTAACTGAAGTGCCCGTTCGCAAAGGGCTCCCTCCTTCCACAGCTACGTACCTCTGCGCACCACACGGTGTAGCGCTACAAATAATAAATACCGGGGTGACCGGGGAGCACTTGTAGCCGAAAACTTCACTCACTTCACTCACACCATACTCCGCCATCCCGCTGTCCGTCGTACACATGATGGGAAAGATTTAGTGCAGCTTGAGAGAGCAGTTGGCTGGATGGTATATAATTATAATGGTATATATGGCTGCTCGCGCACAGATGATGAGTTCGAATCCTACGCATCCAGCGGTTCACATGGGGGTGTAGAGGTAAATAAATATTGTTGGAGAGCGTGACGTGAGTTATTTTCATCTCCTTGTGCTTCCCTGCCACCGCAGTATTTGCTTCGAGAACGGGTGGCTATGGAGTGGAGACGATGTAGCAGGTCGTTTTGTTGCCTCTTCTTTTTTCTCAAAATATAAGGGCATCGGCACACCACGAACGGCATGTGAAAAAGAAAAACCTACTATGGTGGGTGTACGTACGTTTCCATGGTTTTGGAGAAGATGCATGCTCCAGTTTGCACATTCGGGGAGTGGTGTGAAGAACCCCTAAGGGCGTACTCACACTACTGGCAGCACTCCCCAGAATGCATGTGACTGCAATTACACCCAAACAAACCAGGATGCACCTGACTGCAATCACGTCCAGTGCTTCGTGGAAAAAGGCCTTGTTTGCGTATGCCCTAAACCTGACTGCAATCCCGTCCGCTAGACCTGCAGCATCGTGTTCCCTGTGCGGACATCTCGCGTCTGCACGCCATTGGCGAGGAGCAATTCGTCGTTTCGACGATCCCACCCTGGCTCTAGAAACTTTTTTTTTTTTTTTTCTGCTCTCCCTCCAACATGCCTACCATTTTGCATTTACATATGTTTCAAGGCCGTCGATGAATATGATCTACGGTGGAGAACGGAGCATGCAGGCAACTATTTTTCAGTATTTTTCACAGTATTTTTCATATTTTTCACCGTGGCCACAGTAGGGCCGAGGACCTCGCCGCAAGTGGAATATACAGAGATATGCAGAATCATCTGCATTTGTGGCCCTTTATGATTTTCCCAATCTACGGTCCGATGTGAAAAATCTCGGTAACTGTATGGGCCATTACCCTCCGGGCGGTGAATGAAACGGTTGTTCTCACTTACCCAGACAAAAAAGGAAAAACTACGGTAGA